CTCTAACTGCTGGTGAGGAAAGGTATTCAACAGTTTATATTTATTAAAACGATTGCATTTCCATGTTCCGTGTACTCTGGGAGACCAGATATAGTGAATGCAGGGTCCTGGGTTTAGTAACACTTTGAATAAGGTGTCTTTTTATGAAACTGAGATCAGCAGTGATCCTGAGGTTCGTTGCTGATCTCAGATCATTTGTGGTTTATGAAACAGATGTGTTCTCCGCTGATCATCTGCACACAATCTGTCACAAACAGAAATGGCCAGTGTACGAAGGAGCGATGTCAGCCCTTCACTGGCGATCTGTGTGAAAATTCTCCCTCCAAGATTCTCCAGCCCGGTGGAGAATTGGAGAGAGAAGAGTGAGAACTGCAGAGGAAGAATATTGACTTCCTTCTTCCTCAATCAGAGCTCCCAAGACAGTGGAAAAGCCCCCCTGCCTTTCACAATGATGGGGTAGAGCAAGTTAGAAACTCTGTGTGTGCTTGTGCAGCATAGTGAGGTACTGAGCGGTCTCCTCTGAGAGCCGCAAACTAAGCAGCACTAATTTACTGCTTCTTAGTAAAGTGTGTGTTTGTTTGATCTTACTGTAATCTCACGAAATTACAGTAACCGCAGCCGTTTTTTAGCGTTCAAAACGTTTGTTGATCAGTTCTCTCCTCATTCGGAGAAGTGATCTACACTGCTTCATGAACAGGCATTCAGAGGAGAACTGTCTCCTCTGAGAATGCCAGAGAACTGTGCAGTGGTCATTTACCACTGCAAGATAAAAGGACACTTTTAGCTGTTTGATTCTTTCAACTCCTTTTTCAGATATGTAAATCAAATTGTTTTGTTTACAGTTTTATGTTTACTTTGTGTCTACTACTGTATGATTACTTTTATTTATGTTTTACATGTTCGACATAAACTACTACTACACATTCCATCCTTTTGTTTGAGAAGAGTTGCTCTGTGTTCAAAAAGAAATTGTATTGCTATTTGCTATTCATAATAATTACAATGTACACTTTAGAGCAGCCTTTCTTTAACCTTTTCAACACAGAGGAACCCCTTGAAATAACTTTCCAGTGTCAGGGAACCCCTTCTAAAAATGACTATCTACAACTCATGATACATTAGCCACTTCCTGACCGCCCTATAGCAGATGTACTGCTGCAGGGCAGTCATTCTGTGCAAGATCATGTGTATATATGCTCATGATTTTGCACTTCCTGGTGTAATGGAGTGAGTGCACACCTCCAGCGTGCCGCTTCTGTTATGATTAGGCACAACAGAAGCCGATCAGCGGGTGCTTGCCAATGGATGAGCGCCGGCACCCGTTGATTGGCAAGTGACAGGACACAGCTCTGCCCAAGTAAACAAGACAGAGCTGTGTCCTGTTAGCGGCGGACTGCTGGTTTCCCCCCCTCTGGCAATCGGGGAATAAAATCCAGCACATTGCCTAGTAAAAACACCACACGTTGTACATAGACATTGGTTAGGCACATGGTTAACACTTTGATCACCCTAGATGTTTAACCACTTGCCTACCAGGCACTTATACCCCCTTATTTACCAGGCCAATTTTCAGCTTTCAGCGCTGCCGCACTTTGACAATTGCGTGGTCATGCAACATTGTACCCATATGAAATTTTGATCATTTTTTTCTCACAAATAGAGCTTCCTTTTGGTGGTATTTAATCGCCACTGGGTGCTTTACTTTTTGCGCTATAAATAAAAAAAGTGCAAAAAAAAAATTTGAAAAAAAAAAAAAAAAAAAGTTTCTTTTATAAAATTTTTCAAACAGGTATTTTTTCTCCTTCACTGATGTGCGTTGATGAGGCAGCACTGATGGGCACTGATAGGCGGCACTGATAGGCAGTACTAATGAGGTGGCACGGATAGGCGGCACTAATATGCAGCACTGATAGGTGACACTGATTATGGGTACTGATAGACGGCACTGACTGGCATCACCCCTGGGCACTGACTGGCGGCACTGACTGGCACAACCCCTGGGCACTGACTGGTGGCACTGACTGGCAGCACTGGTGGGTGGGCACAGGTGGGTGGCACTTCTGGGCACAGGTGGGTGGCACTTCTGGGCACAGGTGGGTGGCACTTCTGGGCACAGGTGGGTGGCACTTCTGGGCACAGGTGGGTGGCACTTCTGGGCACAGGTGGGTGGCACTGCAGAGTGGCACGGGGGTGCACTGCTGGGCACGAGTGGGTGCACTGCTGGGCACGGGTGGGCGGAGCTAGTGGGTGCACTGCTGGGCACAGGTGGGCGGGACTTGCGGGTGGCACTGCTGGGCACCGATCATCAGGGCACTGATCATCAGTGCCCTGATGATCGGTGCCGATCCCCGCTCTGACAACTGCCGGTTCTTGGCAGTACTTTCCTCACGATCTGACAGCGTGAGGAAAGTGCAGCCGAGAACCGGCACTTGCATTTCCCTCTGATCAGCGTGTCATTGGCCACCGCTGATCACGTGGTAAAAGGCCGCTGTGATTGGCCTTTTACCACATCACGTGATCAGCTGTGTCCGTAGGACACAGCGATCACGGAGATCGCCGGGTGCGCGCCCCCTGGGGCGCGCAGGAGAGCGCGTTCTGGGAGGACGTCATATGACGTCCACTCAGAACTGGCCGGCCGCAGTGCAGCCGTCATTCGGCTATCTGCGGTCGGCAGCTAGTTAACCCCTTCGCAGCCTGTGTCAATACCACAGTGACAGTGGATTTTTTTTTTTTTTTTTTTGTTAGCACTGACCACTGTAATAGTGTCACTGGTTCCCACTAAATGTTTGTGTCAGACTTTCCGCTGCAATATCGCAGTCTCGTTATAAGTTGCTAATCACCGCCATTACTAGTATTTAAAAAAAAAATAAAAAATCCAGTATATAAACCATAGTTTGTAGATGCTACACACCTTGTGCAAACCAATCAATATACACTTATTGGGATTTTTTTTTACCAAAAGTATGTAGCAGAATACACATTGGCCTACGTTTATGAAATTTGTTTGTTTTTTTTTTGGGGGGGGGGATGTGTTTTCTAGATAATATAAAAATTTGTTTGTGTTTTGTTTTTTTTGTTTTTCAAAATTCTGTCTTTTATTGTTTTATATCACTTAACAAAGATGACATAAATTTCATTTATGTTGTAGTGTTGCGCATGACTGCGCAATTGTCAGCAGCGCCATGTAGCAAAAAATGACCTGGTCATGGAGGGGGCTAAATCTTCTGGAGGGCAGGTGGTCATTGGAAAGAATTACCCCTTACAGATAGCTAAAAAGATCAATGATGTCATTGGGAACTTATCTGTGATGCAGAAATTGCTCAAGGAACCCTAGGGTTCCATGGAAACATGGCTGAGAAACCCTGCTTTAGAGGAATATGCTGTTATCTGAAAATGCATCCCAGATGGAGAGGCTTACTAAAGCAGTACTAAACACTAAAATGTATTATTTTGCAGCTTACCAATCAGATGTGGTGACTGCATTAGTTTTCTTTTTTAGACTGCTTCACCTGGTGATCTGGACAGTAACACACCTCCAGTATTTTAGTGCCTCCACTGGGAATGAAGGAGCAACAGAGATACCTTTTGGACAGCAGCATTGTCGGTCTGGAGGGAGGGGAGTGTTAAATATACCAGCAGATTTAAAGTGCAACTTTACCCATAACAACTTGATTAAAAATAATGGTTTCATCAAGGAACATGCATTCCACATTAATAATTATGCTACCAAAATTAGTGTGTGCTGTAAATTGCCTCCAGCATTATTCCTCCTTCTTGCTGGAGGCTGCCATTTTGCTGAAGCTCAGAGCAGCAGTTAATCTTTAGGCTGTAGCAGATCTTTAGGCTGTGTAGATACAGTGCCTAAAAGTAGAGAGCAACTAAGCATGTCTATACCTCAAAAGGGACCAGCCTGAAATCATCTAGCAGGACTTCATTTTTTGACTAAAGTTCCACTTTAAATACACTTCAATACAAATTGAAGCCAAACACCAGCTCACACTGCAGTTACACAACCAGCTACAGCAACCGTTTTCTTTTCTTTTGGGATAAAGGTTTTACATAAATCTGATCATTGTAAGCGCCTCTGTCAGTGGTAAATGGTTTGTCACATCCCTTAACTGCTACATCCATAGAACAGCTTGTTCTGTTGAAAAAAACAGACTTACTGGCTGGATCACCAGATGAAAATAACACATGAAATAGAAAGCCAATGCAGCCATCACACCTAAGAATTGGTAAGCTGCAATATAATAAATGTTTGCTTTTGGGTTCAATACCGCTTAAAGTGGAACTACACTGCATCTGAGCAACACAGAGGGAAAATGCTATTCAAATCATTTTTTAATATGCTAAGCAACCCCCCCCCCCCCTTCCCCCATTCATCCGGGTCCGTGCTATATTTTGCTGAGAAATCACTTTGAACCCCCTCCCCAGCATTACTGGCCGTGGTCATCTTGAATAAGGGCAAATAATTAGAATTTACTTCCTGTAATCCATCTGCCTTAGCTTAGGCATGCAGGCAGGAGGGTGTGCTTAACTGAACCCCCCCATCCTCTGTTTTCCTCCTGAAGACTTCTGGGATGTATGACCTCATTTGCCTAGGGAAGTAACAGTAGAAATGTAAAAAAAAGTTTAAAACAAGTAAATATGATATGCTCCCCCTATCTGTTTTACTAATGCTAGCAGCATGAGACTTACAAATAGTCAATGTTGATTGAGAGAGTGAGGTTCCACTTTTAGGTGTTGTGTGTATCATGCTGTGCTAGCTGTTTTATCTTGAGCTGCAGAGAGGAATGTGTCTGATTTATAAAGTATCTAGAAATAACTTGCATAGGTGTGTTTTTTATATTTTCATTGCAGTCCCTTCACTAGGACTGACTGATTCCGACTTCACGCTGGATCCAGGCGGTTTCTCCAGGTGACCTGTACATCCCATCACTGCCGTCCTCCGATGGTTTCCTGAGTCCGTCTAGTTTGATGCAGTGATTCTTTTGGGAACAATGGTGAAGTATTTCCTGGGCTTGAATTTGCTGAAGAGCTCCTGGGACCAAGTATTCACTGCTTTTTGGCAGCGCTACCCAAACCCATACAGGTAAGTTCAGCTATGGGAAGCCTTTCCATTATGTGAACTATTTTCTATAAGCTGAAAGTGAAAAGGGAAGCTCTGGTCTTCTACACCCAGTATTTCCAATCTCTCCCCCACCCTTCTTCCCTTTTTCCTTCTTTCTTTTTTTTCCCTTTTTTTTCCCATTTTTTCCCTTTCCCTTTCCTTTCTTCTTCTTCCACAGTAACAACATACAGTTCATCATTTCACAATACCATGTACAGAATGTTCCCGTTGTTAAATTTAGGTTTCTGTGTGTGTATGATAGATAGATAGAGAGAGAGATATATATATATATATATATAGATAGATAGATAGATAGATATAGATATATATATATATATAGAGAGAGAGAGAGATATTACACAGCAGGGCCTGACAAATCTGCTTTGAATCTAGGGGACAGCTAAAAAAATTGGGAGCCAGCTTTTTAAATCGGGTGCCTGGAACTGCATGTCCGGGGCATCGGGCAATTGGAATTGCTCACGCCAAACAATAAGTCTTCTTTAGGTTCTGTTTAAAATTTTGCAAATAAGTATTTTTTTCTCCCCCTTTCACTGATGTGCTTTTGATGAGGCTGCACTGATGGGCACGAATAGGAGGCACAGCTAGGCAGCCCGGATGGGGCTGCACAGATAATGTTTTGTTACCTCACTCAAACCTGTGATTTGATATGCAATAAATACCCTCTTATGAGAAGTATATGAAAATGTATGTAAAGTGGGAAAGCAGTTACCCTGTTATTTTTAAAGGGGAAGCTGTAATTGCTTTTGTTGAACTTTTTTACCCTTTTTCGGTATATATTTTATAAAATCTTTTACATGTACTTTAAGGCTGCACCAATACCGTATCAATGCCGATACTAAGCATCTGAGTGAGTACTTGTGCAAATGCTCCGATACCTGAAACTGATACCATTGCGGTGCAATTTGAGCCCATACAAAATGAATGGGCTCAAATCGTACTCCAAAGACTCAAATGTGATTCAAACAGGAATACGATGCAATTCCTGTCTGAATCGCATGCAGTTTCAGTGAGATTTGCGCCATTCATTTTGTATGGCTCAAATAGCACTGTAAATTGCACCACACCCAGAGGGAAACCACATGTGATTCGGATAAGCACCACATTTATGTTCAAATCACATGCAATTTGAGCCCATTTATTTTGTATGAGCTCAAATCGCACTGCAAAGGTATCTGTATTGGTGAGTACTTGAGCACAAGTACCAGTACTTGTACTCACCTATTTGACAAAAAAAAAAAATATTGATACAGCCCTAATTTTATTTCTTTAAAGCCGCATGAATATTTAGTTTGTAAAAATATACATTCTCTGTATGCTGTGCCTACAGATAACAGTCTTGTGTCTTTTTTTTTTTTTTTTTTTTTTTTTTTTTTTTCATGCTGGGCCTAAAGCAAACATGTCCTGACTGAAGACATTCTGTACCGCGAGGTAACCAGTGACCAGAAGCTTATAACCAGGAGGCTTTTGACTAAGACCAACCGCCTGCCACGATGGGCAGAGTGCTTCCTCCCAGCTAATGTGGCCCATGCTGTGTACATTTTAGAAGACTCCATAATCGACCTTCACACAAGAAAACCTTAACAACCTATACCTGGAACATAAACCACAGCACAGTCATGGTAAGCAAGGATAGGGTTTAAATTTTGGTCGTGTAGTCATTCCCACTGCTTGGACTAGTGTGTTTTAAGAGCGCTTCATTTGAAAAGAATATATTTGTATTCATTTACAGTCTGTGGAGGAACGCTGCACATACTGTGAAAATCCAGAGAACAAAAGCTGGACCAAGATTAAAAGAGAGGCTTGGGGTGTCGTCAAGTGTGTTTGGTTTTAGCAGACCCATACAGGTAAGCTTTTACTGCTATAAGACCGAAAAGTCCTTGTTTACAAATTCTTTAGCCAATGTGAAAGTGGAAAAATAATAAAAGCTTTATTCTTTGTGCCATGGACATTTGGCATCCTTGTTTTGTTTGGTACATGTTTATTTCTTAACCACTTGCCTACTGGGCACTTATACTCCCTTCCTTACCAGGCCAATTTTCAGCTTTCAGCGCTTTCGCACTTTGACAATTGCATGGTCATGCAACATTGTACCCATATGAAATTTTTATCATTTTTTTTTTTTCACACTAATAGAGCTTTCTTTTGGTGGTATTTACTCGCCACTGGGTGTTTATTTTTTTTGCGCTATAAACAAAAAAATAGAAAAAAGTTTTTCTTTCTATTTATAATAGGTAATTTTTCTCCTTCACTGATGTGCATTGATGAGGCTGCACTGATAGGTGACACTGGTGGGTTGCACTTGTGAGCACCGATCATCAGGGCACTGATCATCAGTGCCTATCCCTCCTCTGACAACAGCCGGTTCTCAGTAGTACTTTCCTCATGCTGTGACACCGTGAGGAAAGTGCAGCCGATAACCGGCAATTGCATTTCCTGGTGATCAGTGTGTTATTGGACACGGCTGATTACGTGGTAAAAGGCCGTTGTGATTGGCCTTTTACCACATCCCGTGATCAGCGGTGTCTGTAGGACACAGCGATCACGGAGATCGTTGGGGGCGCGCAGGTGAGTCATATGACGCCCTCCCAGAATTGGCTGGCCTCAGTGAAGCCGTCATTCAGTAAGTGGTTAATAGAGGTTTAAACAGTATTAGAGGAAATTATAAAGGAGTGTCTGACATTCTTTAGATTTCCATTGTGCCCCCCGCTTGACAAATGATGGTGTAGGCAACAGATTCATATGCATTATGTGGTGAGAAGAGTTGCTCCATCCTTGGTGCAGCAGAGCACTCTCCCTGCCACTGGAGCTATCACACACAGGACAGCAAATGAGGATTTTTGAAACTCGGTGGGCTAAGTCTGATGAGAATACTTGCTGCACTGTCAAGTCCACTTCCTTTTGATTGGCAATAGATAGATCTGTAGCCAATAGACAGCCTGCTATTATTTGTAGAATATACCCACTGCCTGTAAGTCCCATCACAAGGAGAGTGAATCTTATGTGGAACTAATGTCGCAATGTAACAACCAGTGACAGGTGGGGAGTGGTGACAAATATGGTGCCCACTACACAACGTACAGAGACAGGCACTTTACCTTAAGTTCCCTGTTTCTGTACGCCAACTTAGAGTTAGTATTAATTACCTCCCAATGTTATCTACGAACTGGAGGTAAAGAGATATATATATATATATATATATATATAACACTTTTTTTTTCTTTAAATTTGGAAAAGTAATTGTGCCACGTTGTAAATTTGGCTCTATTAAGAAATACCTGAATCTTTTGCATGTTTCAGAAAAGCTACTGCAACTAGCAGCATGATATTTTGAATCAGGCACAGGTCTTTTTAAAGGGCCATACCATCAGAAAAGTAGAGCAAATTCTTTACTGAATTCCCCTTTATATTCCGAATAGGTTTAAAATCTAATTCTTTACTTTGACAAGTGGTATAGAATGCTTACAAGAGTTTTATTATGCAAAAAGGTTTTTTCCTCTTTCAGGAATGTGTGTGAAGTATGCCCTCTTCATTTTGTTTATCTATACAATATGTTCATGAAGTGGTTTTTCAAGGACAAGAAAAATGAATGTGTTGAGCTATGCACCCAACATTTGCTTTTCAAACAAACAGCAAACTGCAAGATATGTGCAAGAATTTTTTTTTTTTTACTTCAAGACGATAATACATAATGCATTTATAACTTACAAAGAAGTAACAAAGTAGTAGTAGATGAACATTCCACTGTCCAAGTAATGCAAAGTCCTGGTTGTGCTGCTGGTCACAACTAGCACACCTCCTGATGTTGTTGCCATACCTCCAGTTTACTTGCCGAAGATTTGTAAATCTGTTCTGTGCTGTGGTTTATGCACATGACACAATTCAGCTTGTTAATTGACCAGTTTGGAGGGTGAAGTCCATTGAGCAATTAAAGCTGAATTCGAAAGTAGTAAATTAATCTAATTTGGCAGACTTGTGAAAATAACAAGGCTTGTTAAACAGAATGATAAATATGTTTTTTTCAAGTGAAACAGTAAAATGGTATACTACTTTTTATTGTTTAGCTGTTTGTACTTTATTTATGGCCCTGACGCATGCAATTGCCACTCTTGCTGATGGCTATATTACAGGACATATTGTTTCAGTTTTTCCAAGCAGAGTTTAAAGCTGGCCATACAGTATCTGAATTTTGGCTGAATTGGGTGAAGTTTGAGCTGTGGGTGGCCATGCCAGTGCCACCTGGCTCTACAAACTTAAGTTGAAAAATATAAAATGTGACTGCTTGCCCATGTGTCATTTGTTTCTTTATAGTGAGGCAAGGTGGAAGAGTTGAACAGCATTGGCAAACAGTGCCAGTGCTACTTTAATCTTGGGAGAACATTTGAGTGTGGAAACCAGACATGAAATCTCTGCATAATCTGCCTGAAAAAAACACTTCATATGTATGGGTGACTAAGTCACCTGGACTCCATTATTTTCAAGAATGCAGGTGGAAAAACTAGCTGACAAAAAGAAACCATAAAGCAGTCGCTGTGTTGCATTAGAAAGAAACCGGCAAAGCCTGTATATGAGACAAGTAATAATGACTTGCCAGTTGGATTTATAATTTTATTTCTAGTTAAAAGAAGCTAAAGTGGTAGTAAAAATCCTTATTTTATTTTTTACCTACAGGTAGTCTAATAATAAAGCTTACCTGTAGGTTAAATTAATATCTCCTAAACGTGAACCTTTTAGAAGATATTCGCTTGTTTGGCAGCTGGTAACGTGAGTGGCGTCATCGGCCATTCAGGCGGTGACAGAGCTTTGTTTCAAGTCTCTCATAATGTGTGTTTTTTTGGGGGGGGTTTTTGTTTGCTTTTTTTTTTGCTTTTGGGTGGTGTTTTTTTTTAAGGTTCAGTTTTTACTACTGCTTTTAACAGCACTTGTGTGTTCTTTTTGTTTTTTTTTTTTGTTTTTTTGGGGTTTTTTTTTTCCCTCGCTTTTAAGGGGTTTCACCCAAATTAAGGTGGTGCCATTAGTAATATTGTCATAAGCATCAGATCAGTTTATTAGAATTGTTTAAACTGAATAGAGAGACCGTATTATGCTGCTGCTGTTTTGTTGGGGAAAGTTTCACTGGTTCTTTTGTAGCATGCATTGCCACTGTGTTTAGATGGGAGTCCTGCATCCACCACATGGGTAAATAGGTGAAATGTGTATTTTACATATGTATGTTATTCGTTCTCAACACAACACATGCATATGTTATTCAGATATGACTTAAAGGTAACCTGATCCCTATTTTTTTTTTTTTTTTTTTTTTTTTTTTTCCCTTTCTGTAAATCAGGAGTTTGGTCTGGCTCGGTTCAAACGTAATGTGACCAAGGCAATCAAGGGCTTTGAATTCATCTTGACAAAAATGCAAGGTGAGTGGATATTCCAGTTCCTATATATTCTGACTTTGTAAACAGGAACAGCCGCTCTGTGTTCCCTTAGTAATGTCTTAGTCATGAGATGGGAAGTGTGACAAGAGCAAGGTCACATGGAAGGTAAAGGCTATAATAACTAGTCTTGTCCATATATAAAACGTTGCCTAATATTTACTGAATGATCTGCATTCTTTAACAGCGGAAATTGAATCCTGTATAATTTTTCTTTGTTTGACTACTCCAAGTTAAATGATGAGTAACTTGTGATTGCTGCTAGACATACCTGCATATAATTACATTTTTGCACTTGGATTTCAGCATTCCAGTCTCTTTGCTAGGAAGCAGCCATTTCCCTGCAGGTCTGCATCTCTAAAAGTGTATTAATAATCTATATGTTTTTTTCTGAATCCCATGTTCAAACATTATTCTGTTCAGACACAGTGCCCCAAAGTACACATATGCTCAAGCTTTTATACACAGATCACTTCACCAGTAAAGATGGTACCTATAATTAATATATATTTTTTTTTTTCCTAACGATTATGGCACATTTTTGAAATTTCCTACATTCTAGCAACAAGAGGTCTTTGAGCCCCCCAAAAATGGGAAAGTGCAGGCGATTAAAAAAAAAAAGCGCTTATGAAGAGGTGCTTTTTGGGTTTTTTTAATACTTGTCTATATTGCATAGTTTTGATATCTGGGGTCTTTGGGAATGATATTGTATTGAATGTTTGGGAATTTTTATTTACCTGAAATTCATTGTTGTTTAACCACTTCAAGTCCAGACACTTTTACCCTCTTCCTGTCAAGGTCAATTTTCAGCTTTCAGTGCTATCACACTTTGGCAATTGCGCGGTCATGCAACACTGTACCCATGTGAATTTTTTTAGCATTTTTTTTTGAGACAGATAAAGCTTTATTTTGGTGGTATTTATTTACCACTGTGAGGTTTTTTTTTTTTTTTTTGGTTTTTTTTTTGCTATGTAAATGAAAGTCCAAAAATTTTGAAAAAAAAGTGTTTCTTATAAAATTTTGCAAATATTTCATCATAAATCTTGGCCAAAATTTTTATTCCGTTTTTTTTAATCTTTTTTAGTAAAAAAAAAAAAAAAACCAAGTAAATTTATAACCAAAAATTATCATTTTTAAATTTTTTTTTTTTTTTTTTTTTTTACATTTTTAATTTTTTTATATATTTTTTTTTTTATACTGTCACCCTAGCAGTACAGTGTCACCATGGTGACACTGTACTATTTGTGGGGGGTGATGAAGATTTTTTTTTTTTTTTTTTCTTTTACACTGCTTGCTTTTACACCCATAAAGGCTATAAAAGCAATAATTTCTCCTTTTCTCTGGCTGCATTCTAGCAGCCATTGAGAACTACTGAGTGAGCTGTGATTGGTCACAGCTTGTCACATGGTACAAGGCTGTTGTAAATAGCCTTGTACCATGTGACCTCTGTGATCATTCACAGATTTCATATGTAGTAAGCAATTATGTCAGAGGTGACATCTTGCTTACTACTCTGCATGTGATCACTGATTGGCCAATCAGTGATCACATGATCGGGACCTCGCAGAGAGGTCCTGTACGACGATCGGTGTTCCACTGTTTCCGGAGGATTGCGCACAATGGCCAGAGGTGGTTAACCACTTGCCCTCCTGAGGATTTAACACCCCCCCCCCCCCCCCCCCTTTCCTGACCAGGCCATTTTTTGTGTTGCTTTAACTGACAATTGCGCGGTCATGCAACTATGCACCCGAATGAAATTTACGTCTTCTTTTTTTTTTTTTTCCCCCACGAATTGAGCTTTCTTTTGGTAGTATTTGATTGTCTGTGCATTTTTTTATTTTTTGCTCTATTAATAAAAAAAAAAAAAGACAATTTTGAGAAAAAAAAAACATTTTTGCTTTTAAACCTGTCCAGTAAAAAAAAATTGTAAAACATCAAATTTCGTCATAAATTTATGCCAAAATTTATTCTGCTACATGTCTTTGCTAAACAAAATCCCATTACGTGTAAAATGATTCACGTGAAAGTTATAGCGTTTACAAATGGCGATTATAGTTACTGGAATTTTTTTTTTTTTGTTTTTAACCTGTCCTGTTAAACCGCTGTATGGTCTTGGCCACTGTGCTGCAGCTCAGTTTCAGGGTCTTGGCAATCTTCTTTTCAGATCCTCAGAGTTCTTTGTCATGAGGTGCCATGTTGAACTTCCAGAGTGAGAGCGATAACACCAAATTTAACACACCTACTCCCCATTCACACCTGAGACCTTGTAACACTAACGAGTCACATGACATCAGGGAGGAAAATGGCTAATTGGGCCCAATTTGGACATTTTCACTTAGGGGTGTACTCACTTTTGTTGCCAGTGGTTAGACATTAATGGCTGTGAGTTATTTTGAGGGGACAGTAAATTTACACTGTTATACAAGCTGTACATTCACTAATTTACATTGTAGCAAAGTGTCATTTCTTCAGTGTTGTCACATGAAAAGATAGCTGCAGGCATCATCCTGGTATAACCACTCAGTCCAGTGATGTACCAGTACATCACTTGTCCTTGTTGGGTGTATATGCTATATATATATATATTTTTTTTTTTTCCAGCCCACAGGCTGCATAAAAAAAAAAAAAAGAAATCTCTGCCAGAAAAAGTGTATGGTATGGTCACCATTAGAACATACCTCTCTGCATCCACCCACTTCTAATGGTGGGCACACCTGAAGTGTGCCAACAAATATATACTCCCTTTTTTTTAACTGGATGAAAAATCTCATCCAACAGCACTGCAGACACCTACTTATGTATATTCTGAGAGCAAGACCCTGTTGCTATCAGAATAAACAAGTCGGTGCTGCAGTTGAATGACATTCCTGCAAAAGAAAACAGCAATGGTTCACAATAAAACAGTAACTCAATAAAACTACTTTTTTATTGAAATATCTCTGCCAGAAAAAGTGTGTGTGGTATGCCCACTATTAGAATATACCTCCCTGCATCCACCCACTTCTAATGGTGGGCACACGTGAAGTGTGCCAACAAATATTATATGCTCCTTTTTTTTTTTTTTTTTTTTTTTTTTTTTAACTGTGGATGAAAAATCTCATCCAACAGTACTGCATACACCTACTTATGTATATTCTGAGAGCAAGACCCTGTTGCTGTCTGAATAAACAGTTTGGTGCTGCAGCTGAATGGTGTTCCTGCAAAGCAAACAATGGTTAACGTAAAACAAAGTAACAATAAAACATGAACTCAATAAACCAAAAAGTGAATGGTGTTCCTGTAAAGCAAACGGTTAACAATAAAACAAAGTAACAAAACCTTTTTTGTTTTACTTTTATATTTTTATTAAACCTTTTTTTTGTAACAAAAATGTGATGGACAGTTTCCTGACACTTGAACATTTTTTGAGACCCTTTGTGAAAATGGTGAATATGTGCCGTGCTGTACCCTATACTAATACTCCACTAGTGTATGGTAGCGACGAAAGCAGTCCTTGAGGCAGAGACCAGGTTGGCCAGGACAGGAGGGACAAAAAAAGCGGGTGCCGCGTCTTATTCTGTGCTTGGTATAGACACATCTTCTTTGGGTTGGGGTACCAGAGAGAACATCTGGAAAATGGCTCTCATGCAGCCGACTAACTGCATCTGGATTTGAGGATTGGGCCACAGCACTTTCTGGATACAAAAGGGCTGTGATGATCTTGTCCTAAAATTTTAGAAAGGATCCACTTCGTCCAGTTGCTTTGGTAAATTACAAAAGCAATATATATATATATAGACAATTGAAATAAATAGACACCTTTTTGTACCAGTGTTAAACTTTCCGGGAAACTAGTTACGGATTTATCATTTGGTCATTGAAGTCCACCCCTCCCATGTTATAGTTGTGGACACGGGTTTCTCAACAACACCAGATTCTGTGTTAATTTGGACAGTCACGTCTACGTAAATGGAAGACAGGATGAAAATATCCTGTTTGTCCTTCCACTTCACTGCGAGCAATTCATCATTCCTCAAGCAGGCTTTCTTCCCCTTTCTAAGTTTGGTATTTACAAGCTGTTTGGGGAAGCCCCGGTGATTAGGTCGCATGGTGCCACATGAGCCAATTGTAAAGATGTCTAAACAGTGGCATGCTTGTTTTAGAGATTGTCTGCATATAAGTGGTAACCTTTATGGAACAAAGACGACACCAAGTCCCAAACTATCTTGCCACTGCTTCCCGTGTAGTTGAGGGAGGTGGGGGCTCTACTGCGCTGTCTCTTTCCTCATAAACCCTAAATTTGTACGTATAGCCTGTGGCCCTCTCACAGAACTTAAACAATTTGACCCCATATCTGGCACGCTTACTGTGGATGTACTGTTTCCATGCAGATGTTTTGCTGGGGGTGTATACACATCTGCAAATTTCTCATGAGGTGGTTTGAGGGGTCGAATTTTGTAGAGCCTGCCATGTTCAGGGTCACCCGAGGATTACAGTGTGTTATCACTGAAATGCGTGAAGTGCATTTTCGTCTCATTTTTGGTCCATGATCAAATTGTACAAATCTTCTGTGAAAAACGGCTCCAAAAAATCAAGTATTTCATTTTGCTGTTTCCACCTGAATTCCGGGTTGGGCAGTGAATGGGGGGGGAAGTATGGGTGCTTCAGAATCTGTGGGCTGCCAATCAGGATTTGCAAGCATGTCCAGAAGGATACTAGGGGGTCTACGGGCCTGTGTGTGAATTCTTGGTTGCTGCGGGCTACGTGCTTGACAATACTTGTACTGCACTTATGGGACTCGCCATGTCACCAAGTGATACTGCAGTGCTAATAGAAAAAAGACTAGGATATACTAGGCCACTGGTGCTCGCTGGTTCACCAGAAGGTAGTGCGGCACTAGTACTGGCACCCTGAAGTGCTAGGATTGCATGACTTGTGTCATATGCAGCAGCTTAATGGGGTCGGGTACGTCTGATCTTAACAGGGACCTCTTCTCCGTCATCCGAGCTACCTGTCAGGGTGCCTCTGCTGTCTACAGGTTCATATTCCGAGGCAGATTGTGCCAGGGAGTCTTCCCTTTCCCTTCCCTGACATGCTCAGAATCCTGTAGGGCCTTTTCACTAGTGTACCTTTTTCGTTGGACATTTTGGGCTCTAAATTTTTAGATACCTAGTGCGACTTATGGGAACAAAGATCACCTGGGTGTCAGGGACTGATTGAACCACTACCAATAAAATTCACCTGCTAATGCTGGCAGAGATCAGGCCGGATTCTGCGAACACTGTGGTTTTATGTGCAATGTATTACAGGTGACAGTGATCATAAATTATACTGACGCTGCACTTCTTGTTAGGGGTGGGAGGAAACGGGGGGGCTAAACGCCAGTGCATGCAGCGAACGGGGATGATCCTGCTAACACTGTGTTTTTTGGGGACATTAATACTAAGTGGCACTGGTATAGTGTTTTTTGTTCGTGATCAATATATTGATCCGTACAAACACTATACTAGTAATGACGGTGATCAGCAACCTATAGTGTGCGGGCAATGTAACGCCAGTTGACCCTAGCTGGGAGGGACGCTTTCTGACATCGCTAGTGGCACTAATACAGTGATCAGTGAAAAATGCTGTACACTGACACTGTACTAATGGCAGGGGGCAATCAAAGGGTTAATTGTGGCAATCAAGGGGTTAAAATGTCTCTAATGTGTGTGGGTGCAGTGTGCTGCTTTTACTCACACGTGAGGTCTGTCTTCTCTCTCTGGAACAAAATGGTTCCAAAGAGAAGAACCAGCTAGATCCTGTGCCTGTATTTGTAAATACAGGCACAGCTGTGCATCTCCATTCGCTGTAGGAGATCAGTAGAGTCCCGGCCAAAATCACTGGCCGAGACCTGCTGACATACAGCTCCTCCAGCGATGGACAGCAGGGGGGGCGTGTGCATGCGCGCTCTAAACCTGGAAGAGCAGAGCGAAGACGTACGGGTTACTTTGCCTTCAGCTACCGCCCATCTGCAGTACATTGCAGCGGGCAGGAAGCAGTTAAGTTTACGCAAAGCATCAATATTTGCAGTGTTTATCCTTTTTCAAGACCTCTGCAATTAATTCTGGGCCACATCCTGAGTGATGGCAGTCCATTCTTGCATAATCAGTGCTTGGAGTGTGTCAGAATTTGTGCGGTGTTTTTTTTTTTTTTTTTTTTTTCACCCACCTCTTCTCAATGGGATTGGGGTCTGGGGAGTTTTCTGGCCATGGACCCAACATTTTGATGTTTTTTGTTCCCCAAATCCCTTAGTTATCACTTTTCATTATGGCAAGGTGCTCCATCATGCTGGAAAAGGCATTGTTTGTCAAGAAGTTGCTTCCGGAGGATGTTTTTGTACCGTTCTTTATTCATGGCTGTGTTCTTAGGCAAAATTGTTCTTGGCTGAGAAGCAATCACACTCATGAATGGCCTCAGGATGCTTTACTGTTGGCATGACACAGGACTGATGTAGTGCTCACCTTTTCTTCTCTGGACAAGGTTTTTACCAGATGCCCCAAACAATTGGAAGAGGGATTCATCAGAGAAAATCACTTTTACTCCAGTCCTCAGCAGTCCAATCCCTTACCTTTTGCAGATTATATGTCTTTCCCTGATGGCTTATTTGCTGTCCTTGACACCAGGCCATCCTCCAAAAGTCTTCACCTTACTGTGTGTGCAGATGTACTCACACCTGCCATTCCTGAGCAAGCTTTACACTGGTGGTGCCCCGACCCTTGCTGAACCAACTTTAGGAGATGGTCTTGGTGCCTGCTGGACTTTCATGGGTGCCCTGAAGCCTTCTACAATTAAACCTCCACTTCCTAAAATTCTTGATCTGATAAATGGTTGATTTAGGTGCAATCTTAGTAGCAGCAATAGTCTTGCCTTTTGAATCCCTTTTTGTGCAGAGCAATGATGCTTGCATGCGTTTCCTTGCAGGTAAATTAATATGTCACTCTCAAAACTTTTGTCCAGGGCTGTACACCTTTTCGCTTTCTCAAATATTTCAATTTTATTAACTAGAGAGTATATGGTGTTGACTTTAAATGCCTCTGCAAATAGGTTATGGAGTAGTATGAGATTATACTTGCCTTCTAAGACAGCTGAATCTTCCTTTCTTTAGTTTGTATTCGCTTCTGTTTGTGGAAATGTAACAAGCCTGGAAAACAGGCTTCCCCTTGAGTGTGAAGGGTTAGACGAGCCATTCTCAACCAAGGTTCCATGGTACCCTAGGGGGGTACCCAGAGGTTGTCAGGGGTCCTTAAGCTGTGGCTAATTGGACTGCCATTCAATAGTGTCTACATAGTTTTGGCTCAGTGGTATGACATCAGATTTTTATCTGTCTGTAAGAATGACATTCTGTCTGCTACTGTAAGAGGGCATTCTTCCCACTTGCCACCAATTAGTTGGTTTTAGCAGGGGTTTCCTGAGACCTGAAAATTTATTTCATGGGTTCCTCTGGGAGTAAAGTTTGAAAGAGGCCGGGTTAGACAGTGTGTTGTATTTGTTTTTAATGTGTAATTCCAGCCCTAATTTAAATTGTATAGCCCGAACCTTTAAAAAAAAAAAATGTTTAGAGATTTCCTTTTACTTCCTGTTGCAGAGACAAAACATGGATTGATATGGAATCTCTCTAAAGGCAGGTGCATTCCCCTCTTAGAGTTGTCACTGGGACAGATTTTCCTATTGGAAGGTTTTTTTCCTCATCTCTTGTTCTGGTGACAACTCAAAAAATGTTAGATTTTCCATTGCTTCCTGTCTCTGTGACAGTGATCACCAGGAAAAAAACTGAAGAGTGATTATACCTATCAGAACACAGTCATGCAAACCTTGAAAGGGAACCAGCAAACACAAATGCTCCTGCACTTGGGGATGGAATCGATGCAGGCTACAACAACATTTAGAATGTCCTGGAACATGCACATCTTGCTGCCCTCAAATAGACCGGGGAAATCCAAATATACTGAATGAGGAAAGAACAAACAGAGGGCGCACAGGCCTAGTGCATTACCATAAAAAATGTTTAATAAGAAATAAAGTAGGTGTTGTACTCACAAACGACAAAGTCAAGGCATGTCATAAAAGAACAGCTGGGTCAACACCATGCTGAGTAACAGTCCGCAATAGGGAGTGTAGACATCCAATAGGCTGACGTGTTTCGAGGACTTGCCTCTTCCTCAGAGCCCTCTGAGGAATTCCAGAAAGAGATAACAGGAGTTTCAGGGCTCTGAGGAAGAGGCAAGCCCTTGAAACGCGTCAGCCTATTGGATGTCTACACTCCCTATTGCGGACTGTTACTCAGCGCGGTGTTGACCCAGCTGTTCTTTTATGATGTGCTTTGACTTTATTGTTTGTGAATACAACACATACTTTATTTCTTATTAAACATTTTTTATGGTAATGCACTAGGCCTGTGCGCCCTCTGTTTGTTCTTTCCTCAAACCTTGAAAGGGACTCTCTGACCCTTTTTACACTATACCCAAAACCTTTAAAACAATACCATTTTGGCTATAAATACATTTTTAGCAACATATTATGGCAGCTGGAAATAATCTATTGGATATAGCTAGTTGTACACAGAATTATGCTCTCATGTACAAGTTTATTGTAATTAATTTGTTAAAGCTGACTTGCGAGCAGATACAAAAGGCACATTGTTATGTAACAATGTATTCATTAACATTACATTAAATGATTTATGGCAAGCAGTGTATTTTCCAGAATAAGATAGGGGAAGGACAGCAGCACAAAAAGCCTGTCAGTTGTGCTGTAGTACTTGTGTTCTAACGGGACATTCTGATGGGGAGAAAAACTTCTCTCTGCGCTATCAGACTGCTGCTTCTCCACTGTACAAAGCAGGACCAGACCTCTAAGTGTTGCTTGGCCGCAGCTGAGGAAAAATCCGGTACCCTGCCAGACTAAGCTGTGCGGCAAAGCCGTGTAAAATATCAGGACAGGATGGACAGAAATACAAATCCTTTCACAAATTGAACAGCTCTCTTTTATGTATTATTCTGCTTGGCTGAAGTGAAATGTCCAGCTTGAATAGATTGTAATAATGGTGTGCAGTGCAGCTGTGATTCCAATAGGTTATGTTGGTGACAATGTCAGTGCCTAAACAGTTTGTTTTCTATTTCAGGTGATGCACCTTCCAGAACACTAGTGGGAACTGCAAAAGGGGCAACAGAAAAAGCAAAGGAGGCAGCACTTGCTGCAAAGGAGAGAGCCAAAGATTTGGCCAGCGGCAGCTACAAGCAAGAAACAGCAATATGTCTAAGCATGCCCCAGCTGCCATTCTAGATCCCCAATCTCTGCACAGCAGGTCCATGCTGGGTTCAAAGGTCATCTGAACCAAATTCAACTATTTCTAAAAGTCAATTCTATATATGTATTGTGCTGTAATTTTTAAAAGAAGGAAAGATATACTTGAATGTAATGCAAAAAAATAAGAAATTACACTTTTCTAAGCTTTAAGTTATGATTAAAGAATGATCTGAGAAGTAAGTTGGTTGTCTTTTATTCTAGGTATATCTTTTGCTTTCTGTCATGCTACTAAAAAAACGCATTGTTTTTGTTTGTTTTTTTTGCAGGTAAAAAAAAATGTGCATTTTATTATTTTTGGCTGCAGGAGCCTGTAAAGCATTGCAGCAGTGATCAGCAGATCGCTGGTGCCATGCAGGTCTCCTGCAGACCGGTTTAGTATATTTGCTTGCCATACGGGATGTACGGGCAAGTAGATAAACTGACAGGACTATTCATTGAACTGCCACAGTGCTCCACAGTGCCATGGTAGTTTGAGAACTACAAGCCCACAGTTGCTATGGCTATCTAGTTTATTAATTTACAGAGCACTGTGAATGATGCGGCTGTGTGAGAGGATCCCCATATGGACGTGCTATTTTTAACCACTTCCTGACCTCACTATAGCGGAATGACGGCTACAGTGCAGTCGCCCAGTTCTGGGAGGGCGTTGTATGACATCTTCTCAGAACCATGCCCCTAGAATTGCGCACCCGGCGCTCTCTCTGATCGCTGTGTCCTTTGGACACAGCTGATCACATAACAGCAGCCTTTTACCCACGTGATTAGCTGTGTCCAATTACAGCTGATCACCATGTAAACACATTTGCTGGTTATCAGCTGGTTCCTCATGCTGTCATAGCTTCAGGAAAGTACTGCTGATAACCAGCAAGTGTGAAAGTGTGCCCATCAATGCTGCCAATCTGTGCCCATCAGTACCGCCAGTCATTGCTGCCTATCAGTGCAGCCTTATCAGTGCTTATCAGTGAAGGAGAATAATTACCTGTTTGCAACATTTTATAATAAAATTTTGAAAAAAAAATTTTTTTTTTTTTTTAGTTTCTAAGTCTTTTTTTTCATTTGTTTAGCAAAAAAAAAAAAAACACCCAGCGGTGATTAAATACCACCAAAAAAAGCTCTATTTGTGTGGAAAACAAAATTATAAAAATGTAATATGGGTACAGTGTTGCATGACTGCGCAATTGTCATTCAAAGTGTGACACTGCTGAAAATTGGCCTAGTCAAGAAGGTGGGTAAAGTGCCCAGTAGGCAAGTGGCTAAATACTGACTATGGAGAACTCCCCTTATCCTTTAACCTCACACATGGGGATTTCTATTTGCCCAAGTCGGAAGGATTTCATGCAGACATACTCTGCTTCTATTCATTAGCTAACCATCTTCCCAGACTGTCCGTTCATAGACTTACATTGTATGACAATTACTAATCCTTAAAAATAGACACCACTTTCAAGTGATTCTATTGGCTATTTCAGACTTGTAAAATGCTATCAGTGATTAGTTGGGGTTGGTGGGGAATTTTATACTGCAGTGGGACATAAACAGAAGAATAGCAATTTGGCATCTGGTAATGTAGTATAAGAATTAGAGATGCACATTGGCTAAGAAAAACCGCAGACATCTTGTGGGACCTGAAGATTCTAGTTTGTGAGTAGTGATAGGAAGAGGATTTGTGAAGTGCTACCAGACAATGCATCAGCTTTCGATATCTAGGCACAAGTCTAGCTGCTTACTAAATGCAGCAAACGTGTTCGCAGTCTAATTATTTATTTCAGGTACTTATAGCGCCATCAATGTATGCAGTGCTTTTACATATATATATAATCATTATCACTTTGCGTAGCCCAGTCCCACCCATCATGTTATACATGCCAAATTGTGCTCCCTCATGCTCCCTCACCACTTCCCTGTTCTGTCGGAGCTCTTGTGTCACTGTTGTAATGAACCAAGGCCACTGGAAATGGAGAGTATTCCATTCCCATTTGACAGTACATGGACCTGAGCAGCCAGGCCTGACCGCCATAACATTGGAAAGGGAAAATGTCTTCCACCCAGGTAGTCTCTGACAATAAACCTACTCAGGATAGACCTGTAGCAGAAAGGAGGTGAGGGAGCCCAGACTGGTGAGTACAACTTGCTGGGGAGGTGGGCATATGCGAAAACACTGCCACTTTTGCCTTTTTTAAGGAAAAGTCATAGATTCCCTTTTGAGGTTGCTTTAACACTACATCTCGTTTTCATTTGATAGAAAGGGTTAGAGCCACTGTACACTTGTTACTGCTGCATGCACAGACGGTACATTCTGGTGCATGCACTTAGGGGACAGCAAGTGATGAGAAATATCCAATGGGCACACCAACAATTTTTTTTTTTTTTTTTTTTTGGGGGGGGGGGGGGGGGGGAGGGTTAGAACCTCAGACAATGGTTTTTATTGCTGTCTACCAGTGTCAATTGTTCCCCTCCATTTCTTATGTGCAGGGGGGAAATAGTTTCCTCACTCTGCAAAGCAAAGAAAAAAATGGAGGTTAATGACAGGGGATGTTTAAACCTTAATAGAGGCAATGTCAGGTTGTTGCTTTGAGTTCTGATTTATTTATTCTCCATTAAAGTCTTACGGCCCCATTAAGACCTTACAAACTCCAGATATAAAAACAATAACAAAAAAGAGGAATAAAGCATAAGAAATATATACACAATACTTGCCATTAGACCCCAACTTCTGGCACACTCACCTAGGCAAGGGTGATATTACTGAACCTTCTTGTGGGAAAGCAGAGGATCCCAAAGCAAGTGAGAATGTGCACCTGCATATTACTGGAACATTTTTGAGATTTGGAATCGGTTTTCCCCACATCTTGTGGTGAGGTCCAGTGGCTTCACAGGTGCCTATGGGAAGTGTCTGAAAGCCAGTGTGTAAAATGGGTATTTGTCTCTTACATTCATTGACAGACACTAGTCTTCAGATTCTTGACTATAGGGTTTTTTTTTTTTTTAGTGTTGCCTACAAAAGTGGGATGCTAGGAAGAAAAAGAACACAGGCTTGCCTTAGGGCAGTCCCAGCTTGTATAAACCATCTCTGCTACTGGCAAGCCAGTTATTTCTGCCTAGGGTTTCAAGAGTAAGGACCAGGTCCCCTAGCTCGCTCTTTACTTCCTGGGGCTGGGCAATGAGCTGGATAATCTATATCCAGTGTCACCCCAGTCTGGCCAACCAGCGTACGCAGGCCTTTAGCTATGTGCCAGGTTGACTGCAACAGCCCCATCCTGGATGTGGTCAGCCAGCAAGTTAAGCATCTCACAGGGACTTGTATAACCAGGCACTGGAGTCCATGGCACAATGTAGTAAAGGGTATTTAGTGAGCGCTACCTTAAAACAAAAATGAAAGTGTGTGTGTATATATATATATATATATATATATATATATATATACACACACACAACAATGTTAATAAGCTGCTGATACACCGAAAAAGGTAACCAAGAAAAACCTCCAATAATACATGTATATCCAAATAAAATGGTGCAGCGCTAAATGATAATACACGATTATTACACACAATATATGCTATTTCAAACTTATGCGAATACGTGATGTCACTCTGAAGGTGATCATTGAATATTTAAAGTAGTTCAATGTGATGATGTGAATCATATAGAGATCACAATTCCAGGTGAGTGGACATCCTGATCTGGGAGTGATAATTGGTGCAAACCACACAAATGGGTGAAAAACGCACTCACCAGATGTGCGTTTAAGTTACGCAATATTTAATCCTGCGTCACCAGGCCATAGATCGGTCATCAGATCTCGGATCGGGTTACCCACGGATCACCATCCAGGTTCCACAGAAACAAGGTCACCAGAAACCGCTACCAGGTATCAACACCAGGGTCATGATTCCTCCAGATGGGCACTGCGAATGATAGCACTCACACAGAGTGCCCAATAAGAGACCACATAGCGTGATACTGCTTAAGGTACCTTTATTCAAGGATGGTGGGTGTATAGTACATAACAAAAAAAAAAAAAAAAGAATTCCAAAAGTTACTGACCATAAATTCCAAGGTGTCCACCTGCGGTGGTTAGATGTCCTGTTGCTGCAGCCCCGCTGATGCGTTTCATGCGATGCACGTAGTCATAGGGATAAGGGCTTGCAGCCAATGTTACCCTGCAAACATAAATTGCTGGGCTGCCTCTCCCAAAATAAACCAATAAGTAAATACAAGGTGCTAAAATGGCAATGGTGCTAAAAATAGCACATATACAATGCCATGAAACTGTGTATACAGTGAAATTGTATAAAACAATATATATATTAAAGTCCCAATAATTGTGCAAACTTATAAAAGTAAAAAAAAAAAAATTAAAGTTCCTAAAAACCCCCCAAAGAAACCCCCATCCGCATCTGGTGTGAATATTAAGTGATACAGTAGTAATTCTTCTTATCCATAGTAATTCTTTGTGCTTAGTGCTTCCCCCTCCAGAGCCCCACTCACCACAGATAATTGACCACCTGGAATGGTAGGTCAAATATTGCTTGAGATGTTGCAGCGCTCTCCTGCAGGAAAGTTGGTTGTCTGTGTGGTCTTGACACCTCTATACGCTGATGATAGACTCCATAGTGGAAACACCTCTAGATCAATTGTTTTGCGACAAAACTCCTCCAGAACCTCCGCAGTACTTCTCCACCACCATAAAAACATCAAAGGGAAACTTCCATAGCGTAACACCATATTTATTAGGTAAAAAACATCTAAAATTGCACTTACATAAAAACCATATGTATGGCACTTTAAATGACACGTGTAGCGCTATCAAGCCCAACTCTACATGTTTTGTCGTATGACGTCATCAGGAACGTTACAATGTTACCCTGGCCAACAGCCAGCAGAGCCTTACCCACATGCTCAGCTGAATCCTTAAGAAGATTTCCTCTTCCCTCCCCGCAAGTCGAGTGG